TGAGGGAAACCCTACAGTTTGTGAAGTATGCTCATCCACCAGAGGATGGGGAGCTATAAGTCCACAAGGGAAGCAAGCTGTTGAACTGTTGGATTATTTTTGAACTAGGGCCTCATAACATGATGACGGTGGCGTTTTGCAGAGGAAATGGAATGACAATTGAGCAGTTTGGTTTTGGGAAAGGAGAAGGTTTTATTAGAGGGAGTAAATGAGGAAACAGAAAAGCCAGACTTTGGAGAGCTATTCCTTTGATCCAAGGCTAAAGATGAAGGAAAGAGGATGCTCACTGTGAGCAACAAGAAGTTAGTTTGCAAAATGAAAAACTAGTTTGAAACTTCCATGATATTTACAGTCTATGGATTAGAGTCACCTTGTTTATAAGAGCAGACGGCCTTCAACTGCTGCTTCTTGGGCACAACACAATGAAAACCCACTGAAGGTTTCATCTCTATTAGTACTGAATCAGGAGCCAGGAGTCCTGCTTATGGTAAGGAGTTCTTTCTTGCACTGGCAGTTGAATAGATGAGCTTTTCCCAACATATCTTTTACGGGATCCTAACCCCCAAGAATGCTCCTAGGGAAAAAAAAAAGCTCCATAATTGTGTTTGAAACATCAAGAATTATTTTACTTGGAGATCACAACTCATTGGCATGGCTCAGGCATCCCTCTGCACAGAACACTGAAATGCCCCATCAGAGCTAAGACTAAGCCAGAAAAACCTGTTCCTAACTGAAAAATAAACTAGGGCTGTGGGGTATGGAGAACAAGCTAAGCCAGGCAGTCATACAAGGAATCTAAGGCCAAGAAAGAGTATAAAAATTAGAGAGAGAATTAGAGAATTCGAAGTCAATGAATGCTAGTCAAGTGAGTTTGCAACCAGTTATGGATACTGTGAGGAGAGGGTTTAATCCAGTCAGCTTACAGTAGGGTCCAGTTGGACATCCCCCAAGCCAGGAATGGTGTCAGTGAACTCCCTTTAACTAAAAGTCTTCTGAGTGTGCTGAAGAAAAAGAAATGATTGTATCCATAGTGTCTCCTGGATTTAAAATCTTGGACCTAGAATAAGTGTTTACTCTTTTCCCCAGGAATTTCATCTCCAGGAAGAATGAAGGATGATCAGAGACTTTTCTGGATTGGATGGCTGCCTCCAGCTGAAGCGGATTCTGAGATAAGGCAGAAATCACAGTTCCTTTCATGGTGATCAGAATGAACCTGCTTTCCGAGGGCTTGGCAAACACTGACATGCTGCAGAAATACTGATTTTTTTTCACTCAGTGTATGAAGGTGAAGTGCTGCCTCCGCTGGAATGTGATCACTCCCAAGCAACAGGGAGGTTACAGACTAGCTATAAAAATCGATCAGTTTTCCAGAGCGTTCTCAGTCCTCTCTACTGACTGGGTCTTCAGGAGAGCCTTGCGCATGAAAGTGGCTTTTGTCTAATATTTTACACTTGCTAACATCACCAATATGACCAAGAACAGCCCCGGAGACAAGCTGCTGTTGGTTACTGGCATTATCTCATTTAGTCTCCACAGCGATTCCGTGAGGTAGGCACACACTGTCATTTCCATCATCCAGCCGGGAGCACAGATGATACAGTAAGAAGATATTTGCACAGCTCTGGTTTAAACTCGGGTCTTTCAGTGTGGAGACACTGATATTCTATCCTTGTCAGAATCAGTTAGAAGATGACCCTGTAACTCCGGCTCTGCGTGGCCCCAACTCCTGGCTCTCCCTGCCTAGTTTAGTGCTCTCTCTGCGGTGACATGCTTCAAGTTCCTAGACCACTTATACTCAATTTATTCTCTCAACTAGGAAGAAACTCTCAGTTAAAGCAAGAGTGGGCGGCAGACAGCCTACATTGGGCCAAATCGGTTATCGTACAACCAAAGTAACATTTTTGTGATTTTGCTTTTTCAAAGACCATGAACTATAAATTTTTTCACGCCCCACATTTTTTTTTTTACACATTTGGGAAAAAAATCAAAAGATTTTGTATTGTAAAGATGATATAAAATTTAAATTTCAGCATGGACACAAAAAAAGTTTTGTGAGGGCAAACAATTACCTGCTGTCTCTGTCTGCTTTTACGCCACCACACTTGAGTTGAATAGCACAGAAGAGACTGAATGACCCTTATTGCTGGCTCCTAGTCCAGACTCTAAGAACAGCATATCGGTATTTTTTCCCCAGAAGAACAGAAAGGAGTCTACATTTCCCACAGAATGCAGCAGAGATACAAAAGCAGCCTTGGATTTGGTTCTTCTCGCTGTCACAGAGGAACAGCATTGAGGCTTTTGCTGAAGCTGTCCAGTTTTTCTGTGCTTTTGCAAAACAACTATGCCACCCTTGAACTTGCACCGTGAATTTTTAGTGAAGCCCTGCATCCAAGACGTAAAGCACACAGCAGGAGCCATTTTGAAGAGGGAATCCACTTGCTTGTCCGTGGCCCTTCTGAGTTCTGTTCATACAAGCACGTGCATATTTTAGGGTAGTAGTAATCTTTGGTAACAGTGCCATATACGTGAAATGAAGTGGAACTGTTGCAAACCTGGAGGACCACAGGTGTTTTCCTCCAGGTGAGCAGTGCAGCTTTTCCACGTTGATGGGTCAAGCCATTGTTGTCAGTGAAGCTCAGCTGGTTGACCCAGCCTTCCCTGACATGACGGTCACTGATGTCATTACCCCAACTCAGAACACTGTCAGGTGAAGGAGAAATTCCAGGCAGAGCCCACAATTTCACCTCTTTTGCCAAATTTCCAGTTTACCCTAAGTCTATCCTTATAAGGATATAAGAAAAACAAAACAAAACAATTGTTCATTCACACAGAATGTCAGTTTTTGACACTTTATCTTCTTTTCTGCACACACACGCATGCATGCACGCACGCATACGCGCGCGTGCACACACACGCACGCACGCACACGCGCGCGTGCACACACACACTCCTCAAATAATTGTTCTATTTTAGCTTCTTTGGTAAGATTGCTAACCTACTTAGTAGGTTGTGACTTAAGGCCTCCAAAGAGGATGGCTCTTACCACAGCTCCCAGAGCTTCCAAACAACCAGGCTCATTCCTTAGCGATGGGGGCAGGGAATGCCAACAGTCCGCATGCATTTGTCTTGCCCCTTCCAGTTTTATGTATTTCCTCTATTGTGTACATGTAATTAGGGCTGTCCAGAGTCCAGAGGATGAAGTTTGTTTCTGCTGTTCTGTCTAGCATTCTCCCACTCTCTATAAAATTTCACCACCTCATGCTTTTTCCTCAGCTATGAAATGCTCTTGAAAAAGCATGTATTTTAGTTATTTATACCTTAGTGTAAGAAAAAGAAATATTGCTGGTCCTTCTGAATCTTGCACACATGTTTCCCCCAATCTCTCCTTTCTCCTTTCCTTTTTTTCTTTATTCTCCTCCATTCCTCCCTTTTTATTTTTCTTGTTATCCAACGTTTTCAATGCAGAAGGGGGAAAAATCCCTCTTCTTAGGAAGAAATTACAGCCAGAAGACAGCTAGGCATGGGAGGGAGTTTGGAGGGCAGTGGAATACTACTTACTCATCAATTAAATCTACAGGGGATGTTCCTTCAAAACTTGGATGCCACTGCTTGGCCCACGGGGGTACAGGGAGGCAGTAGAGGAGACCCAGAGAGAGGGGAATCAGTGTGGAGAGGAAAGGATCTATGCCGCATGTCACAGTCACCCAAGCAAGTGTTAAAATCACTTTAGAAGTCGGAAGTAGAAGTTCAGGGAAGGTATAATTTGTGGGGCTAAGGCCCGATAATTTGTGGGGCTAAGGGCGCGTTGGCCTGCCCTGTTTTAGAGTGACCTCATGTACTAGACTGTCTGTGCACAGCACATCCTTCAGTGTAATCAAGACAGCTGCCTCATCTGGCCTGGGTAGCCAAAACACAGAGCCGGGCAATGTTTTCTTTCTCCCAGCCACTGCTTCTGCACAGTTGCTGCAGACTCCAGAGGTCACCCGAGAGGGCTGAGTTCCAAACATTATCCTAGAGAGATAATCTGAGAGCCGCAGTCCTGGCTTGGAGTGAAAAACCTGAGGTTGTTTGCTGTCTGAGCCGTGCTTGCGGTTCTCAGTACCTGGGCAATCACACAGCCCGGGTCTGGGGCTCCAGGAAAGAACGCGCTGAGTGGGTGCACCTGAGCCTCTGTTTCATACGCTCTGGCTCCTTTTCAATAGGCTGAGAGAGTTTGGAAATTTCTCTAGTGTGTGGCCACTGGATTCCACGTTGCAAAGTAAAGACAGAGGCTGAGATATCTGTCCCAGTTCTTGCCCAGTTCTAGGCAAATGTCTACTTCCTGTTTAAACACTTTTTATTTAATATTTAAATAAATTTTAACGAAATTTAATTTTAATTAATTCACATTTAAATGAAATTTAAATGAATTTCAGCAAAGAATCCAGACTTGGCATCACTTTCCCTGCTGTTTATTATTCTGCTTTCTTTCTCCCTTTCAGCTGCTCCTCTTTTCTTCACACTCTTTCCACACGTCTCAAGCTTCCCTTTCTCCATTAAGAACAACCCTGGAACCCCAGAACTCGGGAACTACCTGCTGCTGTCTCCAAAGCCACAAGCTTGGGCGCCCTTGCCTTGAGATCCACGGTGTGTGTACAGCTGGCCTCGGCTAGCTCTTCTTGCCTCCAGGTGAAGGTCTCCCAATTCTGTTTTCCTTTCCTTTTTACCTTTCGTGCGTCTGGAGGGAGTGTGGAGCCCTAGAGTAAATGTGTCCCCCAAACTACTCCCCTTTGGTTCCCACACTGGCCTTCCCTGACAAATGCCAGTATAAACTCTCACCAATGCGCCTTGGACAGCCACAGGACAGAAGCGTCTGTCTGGGGGAGTTTTGTTTTACTGTAGCTTTTGGTCAGGACAGAACTAGTTCAGCCCGGCCGATATCAGTCTACTAGGAAAATAATAATAGTCCTGGACGCACCAATGGCAGCCAGCCGCACAGCTGTCCCCGCGGTGATACTCACAGTTCCACGGCGTTCCGGGGGAGGTCGGACGGAATCTCCGTCACCTTGCTGTCTTGGCAGAGGAAGACCCTGTTAGAGCAATGGCACAGCCAGTGGTGACATCCTGTCCCCGAGCCCAGGAATGCCAGCAAGGAGACGAGGAGCAAGGCCATGCTCATTTATCCATCCACCTGTTTTCTTCCTGCAGGGGCGCCGAGAACCTCCACAGATTTCGCAAGCTCCTCCGCACTGCTGGACAAGGGAGATCTGTCTGGAGGACAGGCAAAGTCACATGACCCACCAAGGGATGCTTTTTTTTTTTAATTTTTTTTTTGTCACTTCCAGGCAAGTAAAATTAATGTGTGTCAGCAGTGATTTCTGAAGCAACTTCAGCTCCTCTCTTATTGTTCAAGACTTTAGTTTCTATTCCTCGACCCAAGAATGACAGCAAATGGAACCTTGGTGCACATTTGGAGTAATTTACATTATTTTTCTGCACAAGGGGTCCCTGCTGGCCACCACTCTCTTCTCCTCGGTGACATAATTGGCCCTCCCCCTAAAGGACATCCATATGACACATCCCTAAGAAGGGACCTATCTTCAGTGTTTGGCATCACAGTGTTCCTATGACCACCCTGACACAAACCATGCATCTGGGCTCTGGCCATCGATGCTCTTTCTTACTTGATTAACAGCCTGAACTAGCATTATGCAGACTTCGGGGAGGTGGGTTAGGAAGCACCAGGTCTCTGCAGCTGGGAGACAATGGTCACAGACAGTTCTCTGCAGAGACAACTCACCTTGTGACCTCAGGCATGGGCTGCTGCTTACAAGGCTATGGAAAAATGTCACGGTGTTCACCAGCCATGCCTAGTCTTTCTGGCTTCTCTTGTCTTTCCTTTCCAGACTCTGAAAACCTGCCCTTCCTTTTCGGGCAGCCGGCACTAATAAATTTATCGAGTCTCTACTTTTAATTTTAGGTGTTCCTTGTGGGTGACACCCTTGATATTTGCAGTGGCATTTTCAAGCTCAGTAATAAGGGGTTTGTGGAATATTTGGCAAAAGTGGAGTGGCTTTCTTTCAACCCAGAGTCTATGAAGAAAAAGCATACACGTCTCTAAGATCATGCCTACAACTTACTACCTGCTAAAATTACCTTCAATACTGTGGTTGTATGTATCAGGCTTTGTCTCATGGAAATGGTCACACACACACACACACACACACACACACACACGTATCCTATCCTTCCTTCTATCTTCGTTCCCTGACTTACAATGAGTGGATTAGATCACTATCAGGCGAACCCATGCAAGGGACGATAAAGGGTGGGTGTGATCTGGCTTCCAGTTGAATGGCCGTAATTTTGAGATGGGATGTTGTAGCAGTATCAATATGGACCCTATACTATTAACAGTTTTGACTAAGAAGGACAGTTAAAAGAGTTTATTCAATAACTCATCCAATTACCAACTTTCAGGTGTAGAAGACAGTTCAGTCAATGAAAGCTTTTGTTTCAACTATGTCCAAATAACTCCAATGACAAGAAACAGTATTTGTCACATCTCACCTGTCCCACTGGCCAGCAACCTCTACTTAGATTTTTAGAGATGTCCAGTTGTGACCAAATCAGTCTTTGCATAGTGAACTGAAATATTGTTAAAATTGAAATTTGATTTTAAATTCCACTTTGTAGTGGCAATGTATAAATAATACGTGTAATAACATAAATAATTTATCATGCATGGCAAGAAACAGTGTGAGGTGAAGACACAGAGATGTCAGACTCTGATGTATTTAGTTGATGGAGACCTTCTTATCAGTTCTTTACAACCTAATGCACGGAGGTGCCATTAATCTGAATTTTGAGCTTGTCATTCACTTTATAAAAGATAATGTTGTCACTAAAAGTCTGTCATTTAACTTTTGCTCTTTGGGAGTTTAGAGGAACTCTGTGAGTAGTTCTTGTGCTATGTGACATTTTGTACTACTTCACATTCCAAAGAGTCAGCTGTGTAGTTAGGCATGTCTCAAGTCATAAAAATAGTCTCCTAGGTTTTATTCTTTTTGAAAAAGTTTCATGATTTTTCCTCTATAGCTTTTAGCCTTTCACTTATCTGGTTTCAATAATTGTGCATGATGAGAGTCAGAGGCTCAGTTTCAGTTTTTATTTAATGGCATAATATTTTATCACACAAATCATCCATGGTGCTAGGGATTTTTATCAAATAGACTCTTTGCTAATTTATAAAGCTATCTTCTCATGTCTCAAGTAACTTTTGTGTGGGTCTGTGTGTTCTGGTTCATCTAAACTGTTAAAATTAGCATTCTACAATGTCTTAATTACTCAAAATTTAAAGTAAGCTTTAATAAATCGTAAGAAATACCTCTAACTTAGTTCTTACAGGAGAATTTGGCCTAATTTTATCTTTATGAAAGAATTTTAGAATTAATTTATTTGACTACTTGAAAAAGAACTCTTATAAAATTTTATTAGAAATTATGTTGATTGGCAGTTTTACAGAATTACTTTCCTATCTAGGAGTATGATGTATTCTCCATGTTCTTAAAGGATTTCTTTCATGTTTTCCACACGTCTTAATATTTTAAGCTTATTTCTATTATGATACTAATATTCAAATCATGTTTCATGTTTATCTCTCTTTTTAAAAAAACACAAAATGAACATCAGAAAAGACCAATAAAATGAAAAAAATGTCGTAGCAAAATAAAACTTCAACATGTTCTTTGTGTTGGCCAACTGCTCCTGGTCATGGACCTGCTCTGGAATGTGATTGACATATACCGTGACACTTGACTTGAGGACAGTATTGCCAGTGAGTGTCAATTATAAATCCTATGGTGCCTTTATTACTATAGCTCTGTAATACAACTTGAAATCTGGGTTAATGATACCACTAGCAGTACTTTTATTATTCAGGGTTGATTTAGCTATCCTGTTTTTTGTGTTTCCATATGAAGTTGAAGATTGATTTTTCAATGTTGGAATTTTGATGGGAATTATATTGAATCTATAGATTGTTTTGGGTGAGATGGCCTTTTTTTTTTTTTTTTTTTTTTTTATAGGGGAGAGCGCGAACGCAGTCCCCCACTACCACAAATTATGCAGTCGAGTTTCCCGCATTTGGGGAAATCGCAGGGGTCAGCACATCCGGAGTGCAATGGATAAGCCTCGCCCTGGGAAAACCACCTTCGTGATCATGGTATCTCCCCTGCCAGGTAAGTATGAGATGGCCTTTTTTACAATATGAATCCTACTGATCCATGAGCATGAGGGATCTTTCCATCTTCTGTAGTGGTTTCAATTCCTTTCCTCAATGTCTAAGTTTTTGTTAAGCAATTCTTTCATTTTCTTGGTTAGGGTTATCTCAAGATTTCTTTTAGGCTATTATGAAAGGTGCTGTTTCTCTAATTTCTTTCTCCACATTTGTCATTTCTACATAGGAAGGCTGCCGATTTTTGTGTTAATTCTGTGTCCTGTTTTATCAGTGACAGGAGTTTCTTTGTGAAATCTTTATGTTCTTTCATGTATAAAATCATATTATTGGCAAATAAAGATTCTTTGACTTCCTTCTTTCTAATTTTTATCCTCTTGGTCCCCTTCGGTTGTTTTGTTGATTTAGGTAAGACTTCAAGTACTGTATTGAATAAGTAAGAAGAGAGTGGACAACTTTGTCTTGTTCCTGATTCTAGTGGAATTGCTTGCATTCATTTACTTGGAATACCTTTTTTGATCTGTTTACTCTAACATGATGTCTATCCTTCATGGTGAGATATGTTTCTTAGATGCAGAAGAAAGATGCCTCATGTTTTCTATTTCAATCTGTCAGTCTGTGACTTTTCAGGGGTGGGAATTGAGACCATTAACACTGGGATAATAATGAGCAGTGTTACTTATTCCTGTTATTTTACTCTTGTGTGGGTTCTCTCATTTTTCAATGAACTTTTCTTGAATAATTTATTTCTTCTTGTGTCATTTTGAGTGTAGTTAACTTCTTTACACTGAAGTTTTCCTTCTAGTGCCTTCTGTATAGCTGGATTGGTAGGCAGAAAATTACTCAAATTTGGTTTTTGTTATAGAATGTTCTCTCCTCCTCCTCCTCCTCCTCTTCCTCCTTCTCATTCTCCTTCATCAATTGTGATTGATAATTTTGCTCAGTATAGTAGTCTGAGCTGGCATCTGTGGTCTTTGATAGTTTATAGAGCATCCTTCCAGGCCCTCCTGGCTCTCAGAGTTGTCACTGGGAAGAAAGGTGTTATTCTAATGGGCCTGCCTTCATAAGTGGCTTGGTCTTCTCCTCCTGCAGCTTTAACTGTCCTTTTTCACTCTGTACATTTAGTGTTTTGATTGTTATGTGTCCTGGGAACTTCCTTTTCTGATCCTGACTATTTGGTGCTCTGTATGCTTCTTGTACCTTGACAGGCATCTCTTTCTTTAGGTTGGAGAAATTTTCTTCTCTGATTCTGTTAAAAGTACTTTCTGTACCTTTGGCCTGAGTTTCTTCTTCTACCTCTATACCTACTATTCTTAGATTTGGTCTTTTCATGGTTTCCCAGATTTCCTGAATATTTTGTGCCTGGATTTAAAAAGTATTTACCATTTTCTTTGAGTGATCTATCATTTCTTCTACCTTGTCTTCAAGATCTGAAATCCTCTCTTCTAGACCGTTTATTCTTTTAGTCTTACCTCTAAGGTTTTTGCTTGACATCTTAAGTTCATTTCCAGTTTTATTTCAGTTTGAATTTTCTTCAGTGATTCCGTTTCTTTGTTAAACTCTACTGTCTTGTCTTGAATTATTTTCGTTGTTTCATTTCACTCTTTTCACAGTCTTCATGAAGGCATTTATCCATATCCCCTTTAGGTTCTTGAACATATTCATAACGGCTGTTTTGAAGTCCTTGTCTCATGCTTCAGCTGAATTGCTTTCCTCGGAGCCTATTGCAATAGGATCTCTGGCTTCTAGAGGAGGAACGTTGTCCTGGCTGGGTTTGCGTTTTTACACGGAGATCTCGGCATCAGGAGTTACGATGTTTAAACCGTTTCTTGGTGTAGTTATCTGTTTCCGTCTTTGTGGGTTTGTGTTCCATTCTTTGATCACTGTCGCTCAGTCTGGATCCGAGGCAAGCGTGGCGGCTGTGGGGTCCCTTGTAG